AGAGAGAGAGAGAAAGAGAGACAGAGAGAGAGAGAGAGAGGGGGGGGGGGGGGGGGGAAGGAGGCGGGTGGCGGGGTGGTCACTATTTCATTTGAAAGATTGGCAATTCTTCCGGCATGGTTACATGACAGCTGGTGAAGGCAAACTTGGCGCATACAGGCTCTGAAGTTTCAACAAGCACGACTTAGAGGCTAGGGGCAGCACTGATCCAGTTGTTGATCCACTGTCTATTCTGTGTGTGTTATAGAGGTTGAAGTCCCACTAGCAAGTGGATGGGCCCACCAGTCCCTCCCAGCCTCTTTGTGTGGGCGCGGAGTTTTGCCGCACCCAAATTCCTGCCGAACAGGCGGGGCGCACAATCCGCCTGGCGGTGCCCACCTTTTCTGTCCAGTAGGCCCAACCGACCATTGTGCCGTGACGTGCATCACAACAAAATAGCTGTGAAAAGGACTCAGGGCATACTCACACGAAGACCAAAAGACCCAAAATCCCAAAATTTGAGTCGTTTTTCGGGTCACACTAGAGAGGCTCGCTACCCAAATGCCTCAAACCGTGACCCTTCTGCCCGCCCCGCAGGCCGGGCGGACCCTTTTTGAGACCACCTCCGGAGGTGGTCTCAAATTACCTTTCGTTTCTTTTATTCTGTGTTCGCCAATTGAAGAGAATAGTAGAAGAAGAAGACGCCCTGCAAACAACTGAAAATGCGACCAGGAACATTTACGTTGTAGTGAAGGCCCACACGGTGAAAAAAAAACTGAAAAAAAAAACTAAAAAAAAGTTCTATGTTGCTGTTTGGTCCTCCCGCGTGTGACCGGGTGCACTTGCCCTTCCCTGAGTGCGAAGTGTCAGGGTCGCGACTTCGTCCTTTCTGGATGAGGTCCGCCCTTGTGACCACGCGGGGACCAAAATGGCTCAAAAAAAACGAACGAAATGCCTCAAATCTTTGAGGCTTTTGGTCCCCGTGCGAGTACTCACACGAGGACCAAAAGACCCAAAATCCCAAAATTTGAGTCATTTTCCGGGTCACACTGGAGAGGCTCGCTACCCAAATGCCTCAAACGGTGACCCTTCTGTCAGCGGCCTGCGGGGCCGCAGGCGTACCCTTTTTGAGACCACCTCTACCTTTCGTGTTTTTTTTCCTGTTTTTGCGAATTGAAGAGAATCGTAGACAAAGAAGACAGCCCGCTAACAACTGAAAGTGTGACCAGGAACATTTACGTTGTAGATAAGGCCCAAGCGTTAGCATGAAAAAAAATAATTAAAACAATCCATCTTTTCGTTTGGTCCTCCCCCGTGTGACCGGGCGCACTTGCCCTGAATGCAAAGTGTCAGGGTCAAATGCCTCAAAAAAGCCGAACCAAATGCCTCAACTTTTTGAGACTTTTGGTCACCGTGCGAGTATGCCCTCGATGTGTGGCAACAGGGTGCCACTTCTGCTATGTGATCTTTCGTTCGTGGCAAAAATGCATCTGTACCCCACCTAAAGATGGGAATACCCGCTATACCCAGTTCCAGAGTCAACTTGCATTTATACCCGGAACCCGTTCAACTTTTACCCAATTGTCTACCGCGTGGGCGCGGGGAACGCAGCCCTAAGGTAGCCAAATCAATGAGACTAAGAGCTCGAACAAGAGAGAGAGAGAGAGAGAGAGAGAGAGAGAGAGAGAGAGAGAGAGAAGAGAGAGAGAGAGAGAGAGAGAGAGAGGGAGGGAGGGAGAGAGAGTTTTGTTCCATTTTATGTTATGAGT